TCACTGCCTCGTTGGATTGAAAGCGTTTTCAACCTGTAGTGTACTGTCCCTGAAAGTTTGTAGAATACTACAGAGGGGTATATAAAAGGCAGCTAATATGGTTATTGTCAATGCCTTAAGATAGCTACATAGAAAAGAACTCATAAATTTTCCAATGCACCTGCAGACTGAAAGGTGACAACAGCTCCGATATCAAGATTGCCCCAAACTTTCTGTTGCCAAATGTTGCTGTATTGTTTGCAGCAGAAATCTAGCAATGATTTGGAATAGTATGACTTTCAAATAAATTTTAAGCCATATTGTAAGCAGTTAAAAATAATAATTTTCATATGTTTTTATTTTTGAAAACTTTCAGCTGATTTTTATCAAGTAGGGAGGTTTAACAAAATTAAAAATCGACCACAGGCATATATACACGCAGTTTTTCCATTAAAAAAAAATAAATAAAGATTAAAAGCAGAGTATTTTGTCTTGTCATTTTTTAAAATGGCAAATTTTGCATATTTACCACAGATATTAAATGTTTCATTATTAAGTTAAATAAGGGTCGGGGTTTTGTATTTTTTTAGGCATATGGAAGCAGTGCAAGACCTATTTAGGTAACTCAGTAGGTTAAAACAATTATACTTCATAAATCACAAGCAAACAAGATATCGTAGGGAAAGAGCGTGACAGATGAGGTCACCAGATATACAATATGTCATTTAGTTAACTTAAGCCCATATTTTTCCCATAATGTAGTAGATGAACTCATTAGTTACAATGAAAAACAGTAAGAAGGAGGCATCTGGCTTCCAACTGCCTATTTCTGACAGGGTTAAGATCGCTAGATCTAGTAATGTTTCTGCTTTGTCTACTGACATGGCCTTGTGCTGCAGAAAACTGATGAGGTTTGCTGAAAATTTACAGGCTTAGTGTCACAATGTTATAACATAGACAGATGCAATCAGTTATATTTTTTGCTTCTGTTCATGTTTATCATTTTGCTAAGTGGTTTTGAGTATTTAGGATTTTCATAAAAGCCTACGCATTACCAGTTTGTGATTTTTCTAAATCACTTTATGAAGGAGTATTCTTTATTCTGCAATTCTGAAGGCAACATAAGTGCTATGGCACAGTATAAATGGACATAGAATAAAGCTTGTGGATATGCACTGTTGTAACTAAAACTGGTTGGGTTTTGTGACCCATGCTAAGGAGTTTATAATTTACCTAAAACAGTACTAGTAATAATGCTGATCACAGAAGGTCTTATAATACATCTTTCAGACATTTTAATCTGAATTTTATAAATACTAATTTGGCAGTATTCTTAGTTGAGAGTCAGTTATTAAGCAGTTTTACCCCTTCTAAGTTTATTTTCCTTTGATTTACAAAAAGCAAATTGCACCTTTTAAAACCTTATTCATTTAGCTTGGTTGATGTTTTTAAAATGAGAGCTAATGCATTGGATTTAAGTAGTTTTTAGAGATTATTATTCATAATGATAAATCAGTCTAAACTTAATTGGCTTAATGCAATGTATTTGTATTAGATACTGGAGACACAGTAAGAAAAGGTCTAAATCTGGTTTCTGTGGAAATCAAGTATTCTTTTGCTTACCTGTATAGAATAACTTCCCTTGATTTTTTTTTTTCCTAGATCATTTTAATTAGAGTTATGTATTGTGTAGTATATATCTAAATTCTATATCCACAAATTTAGTTTTCCATTTTAGCTTCAGATGATGCAATCCTCTAGACATTTTATTCTCATTTGGGAACAAAGGATTACAAGGCACCTGCTGAGTAATTAAGTACAGTCCTATTTATAACATCTTGAAATTAGTTCTGTTTTTTGAACTTGCTACTCTGATTGGTAAACTATTCCAGAATCTTAATTCCATATTGAAGGCTGTCACTTCCCAAACTAAATTTATTCCTGGTGAGTTTGCACTCAGTTTTTCTCTTGCCAACCCTTAAATTTAGCTTAAATCCTTTTGCATCCTGAAAATACATGTATGATAGCTGTTGTATACCTACTCAGTATTAGTTTGGCCAGATTATATCAGCCAAACTCATTTTTTCTGCAACAGTACATCACTATAGATCTCCACAGTGACACTTCCATCTTTCACAAATATAACAGCATAAACACTATTCCATAATGAACCCTACTACAGCCTTCTCTAATGTCATTAATACTTAACTGTTACAGGAGCTATTTCTTCTGAAAAGTTGGAATCACATTAGCCTTTTCCATGGCAATGTTATATTGGTAACTGAATACTTACCCAGTGGCTGATGTATTCAGGTCCTTCTCTTCAGTCATTTCCAGTTGATGAATTCCAGTTATAATGGTAATTTCTTTATTAGTTACTAGATGCATAGCTTTTCAATATTAAATGTAACTTGCAGTTTTGTCATAATGCCTACTTATAATCATCCTCCTGTGACTGTCAATTGTACCTTGTAACTTTGTCATCAGCAAATTCCACTAGATTTTTTTTACTTTGTCACCTGAAAACTTTATTAATATTTCAAATGAGGTAACTTCCATGGTAGTTTCTCTCAGTCTGGTGTTTTTAATTTTGAAATTATGTGATGGCTCCTTCTTAGCTAGTTTCTTTTCCCACATGCTACTAATTCTCAGGTTCTCCTGACTAAATTACTGTCTGTTGTGACAATCCCAGCTTTACTGAATTTTGCTACAATGGCCCTTATTTTTTTGAGCAATAAATATTAAAAAGCTCTTTTAGCCAGACCATTTTGTAATCTGTCATTCCATTACTATTCTTTGCTCCAAAATAAATCCTGAATCCTACTGTTCCTGAAATCTTGCTTAATGTTGAAGGCTTGTAGTTGCCCAAAGCACTTTTTCCCCTTCTTTAAAAAGAGAAACCACATGTGGTTTTCTCCAGTCATATGTTGCTGTCTCCTCTTACCTGGTTGGCAAAAGTACCTGCTGCTATGCCAGTAATTTCACAGACAGTTTCTTTCAAAGTTGTCTTGGAGTCAGTTTATTCCTGTGGTTTTAATGCATTAAAATCTTGCTTCTGGTTTACTTAGGGTATTCAAATTTCCACAAGTGCATTTCTATTAGCTTTCCTGTCTTTAATTTTCTGTTCATCATTGTTGACCTTAATGAAAATTGAGGTTAGGTGTACTTTAAGTTCATGCAGTGGGCCGTCTTCTTTTTTCAGTGTCCTCTTTTCATTTACATAATAATGGAACTTTACGCTATTTTACTTACAACACAGTACAAGAGCAACAATCTGCTTGACTGGCAGTCCAATCCTACTCTTCCCTTCAGTTGAAAAGTTTTGTCTTTGTATGGATGAATTTTAAAGATACAAACAAGCAGAAAATTCATTAGGATCATTCTGTGGATCAGATGTCCTTCTGTGCCAAATATAGGCAGTACTAAGTAGATACGGATTTTTTTACTTCCTGACCTGGCAGATGCTAAGTGCATTTTATGCAGCTCATAAATCCAGTTTCTACTTCCTGCTGCACAAAGCAGTGCTCGTATCTATTTGATAAGATGTGTTTAAGGCACTTAGGAGAAAGAGAAGAAGGAAGTGGCTTCAGCATTTATGGCTGTTAAAAGAAGAAAACAATACTCCTTGTCACGTCACTCCTTATAATGAGTCATTCTGCTTTGTATTTTTAAAAGACTCTTCCATTCTATCTATATCTGTTTGTTAATACTTGTATACATGAAGAGGTTTACACTATCATTAATTCGAACACATATATAATCTTATACAGAATTTTTTATGTGCACATGCATACACACACACACATATGCCCATGTGGTAAGTAGGTAGATATTTTACACCTGACTGCATCAAACAACTGGTAATATGTTATCTGATTAAAGTTACATTGCTGAAGCACATTTTGTTTGCAGTAGTCAGAAGGGCAGACCTTCATCTAAATCTGTTGTAAAATATTTTCCATATTATCTAAACTATGGCTATCAAAACCAGCAAATAAAAAACCAAGTGTTCCTATTTCATACATAGGACAGCTAAATTTTATAATCAAGACAAGTGATCCAATAGAAATGAATTAATTTGAAAATAAATTTAAAAATCGGTTTGAGTGCAAGCTTTTTGTCATTAAAGATAGCCACAGTCTGTTGCTTTAAAAAAAATTTAACCAAAAAGATGAATGTGTAAGTTATTCACAGTTCTAGGTAACTTTCCACTAAGCATAGCAAATTATTCTTATTTAATAGTTGTTGTGTCTGTTTCACTGAAGTAATTAATAGAGGTGCACTTTTCTCGGTTACAAGATGTTGTAGAGTCCGTTTCAATCTGGAAATGTTCCAGACATAACAGATTTTACTTGCCAAACTCTATAAAGATGATTATTTTGTTCTTAACATTTGCCTAAAAGAATTACTGAATTTTACGTTCCATGGGGAAGGGGGGAGTTATCTAAAGAATCAACAATAATACTTTTTAATTCATGTATAAATAAATTTATGTTCAATATAATGATATGTGTATAACAATGTATATAATACACATTTTAAACAAATAGCAGAGCAAACAAAAGGTCTAGCAGTTTTCTTTTGAATGCAAGCATATTTGCTGACAGCAATAAAAAGACTAAATTGTTTTGTCATCCTAAAGCATAAGTGATTACATTTTTCTCTTGCAGTAGTCTCACAGATTTTATAGATATGCAGTCGATAGGCTATAATTTTTAACATTTTTTTTTTTGCTGGCAGTATTTTGCTTTTTGATTACTGTGTGAGTAGAAGGCTGTAATTTCTAAATATCACTGAGTTTGCATAATCTAACTGTGGGCTCCCTCTTCTAAGTTTTTATGTATGCCAAACAGCTGTTGATAGCAAAATGTTGTGTATAGAAAATGAGGTTTTAAGGTTTAAACTACCAAGATTTGTGGGCTTTCTAACACATTTATGTCTTGTAAAACCTTACGATCATATTTTTAGGAAAAAAGTCAAACTAAATTATAAATATTATCATAATCTCTATTTCACTGCAGAGACACCAACTGTATTTCCAGAAAATATCAAAGATAAAGAAACACCAACACCAGTTGAAGATATTCAGCTGGAAAGCTCTATTCCTCATACAGATTCTGGAATTGGAGATGAACAGATGCCCAATATTTTGAATGGGACAGACTTGGAGAACAGCACTGGCCCTGATGCTATGAGTGAGCTGTTGTCTACTTTGTCTTCAGAAGTGAAGAAATCTCAGGAGAGCTTAACAGAAAGCCCCAGTGAAATCCTGAAACCTGCATCATCAATATCCAGTATCAGCCAAAGTAAAGGCATCAATGTCAAGGAAATACTGAAAAGTCTTGTGGCAGCCCCTGTTGAAATTGCAGAATGTGGTCCGGATCCGATCCCTTACCCAGATCCTGCACTGAAGAGAGAAGCTCAGGCTATTCTTCCCATGCAGTTTCATTCATTTGACAGGTATATGGCTGGATTAATTATTTTATATTGATGTAATTCAGAAGTTTGAATTTTTTATTTTTTTTAACATGGTTATTCTTCTGTGGGTTTGTATTAGACTATGTTGAAAAACAGCTGAATTTCTTCTCCTTTCTGTGTTACCAAAACGGACTGTATAGTACAGACAAAAGTAATTCACCTTGTTTTTCTCTGTCAGCAGTGAATAAAACTCTACAAGGTACTCAGAAAGCAAGCCTGTTGTAAAGAAATATTTTTCCAATAAGATCTTTCTTCCTTTAAAACAGCATTTTAGTGAGGAGGAGAGGTAATACCTGCTGATATAGAACAGACTGTGCAGAAATTCAGTCAACTGTTCTTTCAAAGGCTTAGGTCTTAATTGGATCCATCACTGCACTGTTTTCTGGTACTGAAATGCTTTGACCATGGCAAATTGTTTGCATGGTCATGGTGGAAACCAGTTTCCTTTAGGTCTTTAAACAGTAAATAAGCTCAAAAGTTAGTGCTTAAAAATAACTGCTTAATATTTCCACAAAGAGTCCTTTGTTTCTCTTTTTAGGCTGTAGCTTCCCAGCTTCTAACAAATATACTTTTATTTAAATGTCCAGTACATCTTAGTTATCCCGAACATAAAAGTTGTGATAAGATGTGCAACTGACAACATCCTTCCAGAAGGGTAAACTGATCCATTGTGGGTTCAATCTTAACCTATGCAAAGAGCTAACTCTTACGACTGTTGATGTGGTTACATTTTCCAGTATGACAAGATCCCTGCAGCTTCTTCATTACAAATTTTTTAAAAGTAAAAATGGAATAAAGACTTAACTCAAAAATATGGTAAAACATCTCAAAATTTTAAGCAAAGTTGTAGAAATTTCTTCAAATTTCTACATGAAAAAGTACAAAGTTCTTCATGCAGGTACAAGAATTAAAATTCTAGAGGAAATAAATAAAACAATAAAATGGCTACGCTGTGATTTATAAGAAAAATCCATCTGCATTTACATAAAACCTGTAAAAATGTCAGAAATATCTTCATTAAAGTCTGAAGAAAAGCAATATGCAATCAGTGTTTTCAGTGTAATGTAAACAGTAAATTGCAAGAAGATACATGAGAATTTTAGAATAAAAGTGAAGAGCCATTTTTTAATCATAAATTCCATAGAAAAGCTGATACCTTTTTGTCTGTATATATATTAGTACTGAATCTGCTTCTCTGAAATAATTCAATAAACAAACAGAATCTGTTGTAACAAAGAAGATTGGATCAAGATAGGAAAAGTGAAATGTGCTTTAGACTCAATTAATATATCCCTTTCTAATAAGATAATAATAATATTTTAGATCTTAAGGCCATTCCAAAGCTCATTTAGCAACTATTTCATTAAGATTTTTTTTTTCCCATCAATCTGCATGTTTTGGTTTAGAGTGATATCAATGTAAAGTGAAAAATATCTTTTTTCTCCTGTACAGTTATTAATTTTTCCTTAGTTTCTGTGAGGAACTGTCATATTCCAGAATGCATTCTTGTACAATAAGCAATACAAAAATTTGTGCTGTCTGTACAATTAATAGCACCCAACTGTAACCACCAAAAAGTGACTTCAACTGAACAATATTCAGCTAAATTCCTACCTGGGTCAATAAAGAAAAATGCTTCATTCAGAAGGTTGTTGTTAATTCACAAAATGCTAGACACCTAAATTAAATGGACCGTATCACCTTATGAGACACCTTTGTCATTGTTAAGGGGAACCTGATTGAAGATATTAGTTTTATTCTGCATTTCTAAATTCTAGTTTTATAAGAAAGCATTAAACTCTGAAGGGCTACAGTAGGTTGGCCATAACCTGTATTTAGTGAGAATGCCTCCATTCTTTTTGCAACGATATGACTGCTTGTACATTTTGAACATCATTATTAGTAGTTGCTATGACAGATTTATGGAATTATTTGAGAAGTGCTTCATGTCTAGAGCCCACAGATTTTCATAGGTATTTCACACTTTGTAAGTTTGTTTAGGAGCTAGAGGGTTTAATGTTTTGTTTTTTCCCTCTCCTGCTACCCTGCTGACCAAGCTGTGATTCCATGATTTCCTGTATGAAGAGTACAGCTGTGTTTGTATCTTGGTAGCATATGTTGTAGCATGTCAGCCCTTGACATTGTTTACTAATTCAGCCAAAAAGTGGTAATAATTGAAGTTGAGGCAAAAGACCCATTTACATCAGTTTTGTTGGGATATTTTGTTTCTCCTAAATAGATAATCCTGCTATCTGATTTTGGTGTGTTATATTAAAATCATTAAAATAATTAAAAATCATGCTTTTTAATATAATTGGCAACTATGAAGGGACAATTGCGGGTTCAGGCAGGTCCCAGAAGATCGGGAAGTTTTAAGTTCTTTCCTCCAACTAAATGGATGTTGCTGATCTTGGAGCATTTTGATAAAAATACTGATGTTCCTAGCCCACAGGACCTCAACTGGCTGGTTGCATGACATAGCTGCCTTACTGAATGATGACGACTGTTCAAGCAAATACTCTGTGCAGTTTGCTCATATGTTCAAAGTACTTACTTGACCATTGTAGCAATCTTTGGAGGCAAAAGATGTCGCTTTTCTTTTTCGACTTACAAAGGAGGAGGAGGAGATTGAGATCCTGACCCTATATCTTTTCATGGGGAGTGAAACAAAGGTTATGGGAGAAAAACCTTGAATAGCATATTGAAATAATATTAGAAATAATTAAAATATTGAGAAAGCAACATGAATTTTAGCTCATGAAGGTATATGCACATTTTATGTTGCCTATAGTATCCCAATTATCAACTGAAAAAATTACAGCATGATTGTTTTTCCATAATTGCTCATGTATATATAATTGTGTTTGCTGATAAAAAAAAATAACAAATAAATAACATACGCTGCATATTTTTTTAAAAGCTAACACTATGCCTATGGACCATATTTCTGTAGGACCTTCTGTTGCTGTAGTTTATGCAGCCTTTGGAACTTCACTGAGCAATGTGGCTATTGGTCATGTTTATTGTCTCTAGGGAGAATCATGAGCAATGGAGTGTATTCTTTTGTCAGCTTTTATTTGTTTCAATTTTTATAAAATACACACAGTGATTTCATATTTATAAGCAAATCAAGGTTTGAGAAATGTATTTTTCACTTTAATCAAAAGACATTCTTAGTCCTTGTGAGGCTGGACTTATTTTATTGTTGCATTTGGACGGCTGAGTGCCTTCTAAAAGAAGACTTGAGGTAATAAGTAATTAGTAGCAAAACAGCACTATCTTTGTTGTTTTAAAGGTATTCCTTTAACTATAATCGCTGATCTTACATGCAGGTAAACGCCCTATAAAGCAAACTCCTGTAAATAGAACCAAACTTTAGAATTCTGTTTTATCATTTAATATGACGTGTTTTGCTCTGCATGTTCTTTTAGTGGTATATTGCTAATATGTTCATAGAGTCATTGTGTAATAGGCTACGGTGTATTCTCCTGTAGAATTTGTGCAGTCATAAATGAAATACAAAAGCAGAAACATGTTTTATCAAACAGGACTTGTGTGTTGTTAATGTATGCAGCAGTTCAAGTACTATCGAATGTAAATGATGAGGTGATATTGATGAAAGGAGGGGATTGAGGTCTCGGGGGGCGCTGATGACGGATTGAACAGAAGCGGCCTTACACCGCACGTAACTCAAGTCTGTCGTCTTCACCGCTCAAAGCCGTAATGGGAGGTGGCAGTCTGAAATGAGTTGCCACGGCAAAGAGTATTATTTTTGAAATGCTTTCACACAAATCACTAGGCCCTGCATACAACTTAGTTTCATGCTTTAATGTCATCAGGAGGCACAAATTGGTGTGTCTAATTGTTTGCCACCTGCCAGCAAAATGAGCTGCCAGCCAGCCAGACGGGTTTGATTGTCTGTCAGCTCTTCAATAGATTGAGAGTGACAACATCAAAAATTTCACTTCAAACTCTGAAGCTTTGAGCAGCTTTTCAGAGACCTCTTCCCCACAACTGCTTCTGGACAACTGCATTTTTCAATTAGTTTTCAATATATTGCTGCCTTCTGCCTCATCTGTCTTAAGGTAGCTGTAATTACATTATGGGCTATATAAACAGATTTCTGGGACACTGGAGCCTGAATCCTCAAAGTTATGACATGTCTTTTAACGTCAGACTGAATTCCTTGAAAATGGCATCCAGGATGACATTTTTAGAAGCAAACACAAAGGGTTATTTCACCTAGATTTGCAACTAATGGAGCATAACTCACCAATAATTCCTTTTTGCCTTCTCATCTTTTGTCTGACAAAAAACAGTCCCTGTTATTGATTTTTAGGGTTTGGGGATTTCTTGTTTCTGTTTTTTTGTCATTTTGCATTTGTCCCACTAGACACAACCTAGACCATTAACGTTTGCAAATTTATTTCTGATTCTACCCAGTACTTCGTTCTGAAGCTTACATTTGTTCCATTCTTTTTTCTAATAGAGAGTTTTTAGAGGGGTGCTATTGTTGAAATTCAGATTGCTCGTGGTTTTGTGTCTCATTTATTGTTTTTTTCGAAGTGAGGTAATTTACATATATTTTCTGTACTTAGAATCATTTCAATAGGAAGCATGCTTGCATAAGCAGTAAAGAGTATCTGGAAATTAGAAAATCATTTATTGTTGCCACTATTAAGTATCTTATTCCCTTTTAATCTGTTATCACTTCATTAATTGGAATGATATGTGTTTGCATAGTTTACGTATTCAGTGAAGTCTTTATATGCATTTTGACGGACATGTTTTTGAAGCATTTTAGTCTTGTTTTTTGTTTTGGTGTCATCTCCCCCGCTCCCCAGAAGGTCCTTGGGGCCAGTTTTAAAGGTATTTATATGCTAGGAAAGGTGGACATCTTGTGAAATCCTGTGAGACCTGATACGTGTCCTGACAGTCAGTACAAGAGAAAGAAAAAGAAGTGTTCAAAAAGTATGTTTAGT